TAGCCCAGAAACACGGGCGTTACGTCGAGCCTGCTACGGCTATGGAGAGACCGGGCACTACAAAAGGGATTGCCCAAAAGCTAAAAATGCAAACACCGGCAGTGCCGGAAGGGTTTTGGGATTAGGGTAAGGGGAAGCATTAGAAGATCCCATGGTGGTTACTGGTACGTTTCTCCTCAATAACTCATATGCATGCATGTTATTCGATAGTGGAGCGGACAGGAGTTTCGTTAGCCACAAATTCAAACAATTATTAAAACAGAATCTCCAATCACTAAAAGATACATACGTAGTAGAAATGGAAAATGGAAATACAGAGAGCACTAATGACATATACTCAGGGTGTACCCTCACTCTAGATAACCACTCATTCAAATTAATTTATTGCATGCTTCAATAAAAAGTTTTGACATCATCATTGGCATGGATTGGTTAAGCTCAAATTGTGCTAACATTCTGTGCTGCGAAAGGGTCATTCGCTTTAATCTGCCAAATGGCAAAACTCTCATCGTTTATGGTGACAAACCTAGTGTGAACCTACAACTCATCTCTTGTGTCAAAGCCCAAAAGTACCTCCGTAAGGAATACCACGCCTTCTTAGCCCATGTAGTGAATGAGAAGCAGGAGGTGAAAGACATCAAGGACATTCCAGAGGTCTGTAATTTCCCTAACATATTCCCAGAAGACCTTCCCGGAGTTCCACCCGCATGACAAGTCAAATTCCGAATCGACCTAATTCCCGGAGCTACCCCCGTAGCCAAGGCGCTATACCGCCTAGCGCCAGCCAAGATGTAAGAACTATCCAACCAACTAAATGAGCTATTAAGCAAAGGGTTCATCAGACCAAGCTTCTCGCCTTGGGGAGCACCAGTTCTGTTTGTGAAAAAGAAGGATGGATCGTTCCGCATGTGCATCAACTACTGCGAGCTAAATAAGCTTACCATTAAAAACCGATACCCTCTACCCCGGATCGACAACCTTTCGACTAACTCCAAGGAGAAACTTACTTCTCAAAAATCGATTTGAGGTCGGGATACCATCAACTACGGGTCCGGGAGGAGGATGTTCCTAAAACGGCATTCAGAACCCGGTACGGTCACTACGAGTTTGTAGTGATGCCCTTCGGATTAACAAACGAGCCTACGGTGTTCATGGACCTAATAAACTGGGTATGCCGGCCCTACTTAGATAAGTTTGTGATTTTCTTCATAGATGACATACTGGTCTACTCTAGGAGTAAGGAAGAGCACAGCCAACACCTACGACAAGTATTAGATACATTGAGAGCGAAAAGATTATATGCAAAATTCTCAAAGTGTGAATTCTGGATCCGAGAAATGGGTTTCCTCGGTCACGTGGTTAGCAAGGAAGGGATACATGTGGAACCTTCCAAGGTCAAGGCGATCGAAAAACTGGTCAGCACCAAGGACACCTACAGAAATCCGTCAATTCTTAGGCCTCACTGGTTACTACCAAAGATTCATCCAAAAACTTATCCAAGATCGCCAAACCACTTACCACCCTGACCCAGAAGGGAGTAATCTTCGACTCGGGAGAAAAGCAATAAGCTGCATTCCGAACATTAAAACAGGCTCTTTGCAGCACTCTGATTTTATCCATACCAGAAGGAACTGAAGACTTTGTGGTCTTCTGTGACGCATCAAACCAAGGTCTCAGGTGTGTGTTGATGCAACGAGGAAAGGTCATTACATACGCCTCAAGACATCTAAAAACATACGAGGTTAATTATGCCACACACGACCTCGAAATGGGGGCAATAGTGTTCACTTTAAAGAACTGGAGGCACTACCTCTACGGGATGAAGAATACCATCTTCACCGATCATAAAAGCCTCCAGCACATCCTCAATCAAAAGGAGCTCAACACGAGGCAAAGATGATGGGTGGAGCTACTAAATGATTACGAATGCGGAATTCGTTATCACCCGAGCATAGCTAATGTAGTAGCTGACGCACTCAGCCAAAAGGAATACTCGGGCCGTTGAGTAAAGTCGTTAACCATAACAATCCATTCACACATGTCTACACAAATTAAAGAGGCTCAACCGGAAGCTCTAAAACAGAAGAACGTAACAGGTGAAGCTTTAAGAGGGATGGATAAGAACCTAGAAATCAAGGGTGACAGAATATGCTATTTCATGAATCGCCTCTGGATGCCTAAGTTTGGTGGATTCAGGGATGTCGTCATGAACGAAGCTCATAAAACTCACTACTCCGTTCATCCTGGTTCCAACAAGATGTACCTGGACCTCAATAAATTCTATTGCAACCGGTCCAGCTTACCTTCGGTCGGTTTCCAGCTTCTCGGTTCATCTCGCTTCGGTTCTACCACCTTCGGTCCCTAGCCTTGCAACCAAACACTCCTTCGGCTCGGATCAGCCTACTTTCGGTTCTCAACCCTTCTTGGACCGAACCTTCGATCCTGACCCCCAGAACTTCACAAGTTCGCCTCTTGGTCCCGGCTTTCGACCCCTTTCACTTGTTAAGCTCGTTTTTGGTGATTTTGACGGAAAATTTTCACCCAAAATCATATTTTTAACATATTAAACTCCATAAATTCATATTTTAATCATTTTTGGGGGAAATCTTTGCTATAGATAATATCTTTTGTTCAAGATATTATCTAAGAGTGGTTGACTTTTCCTAAAAAGCTATGACAACAAACCATCCCCCATACCCACTCTATGACAACCTCCAGTCATTATTCACACTTTACCATATCAAATCACTATCCTTTTATGCAACTTCCAACACTCTATATGATTCCATATCCAAATCTATTCACCAGATCTTTATTTATTTACACTTAAGTCTTACTGTCTTTCCCAAAAATCACACATCTCTCTCTCTCTCTCTCTCTCTCTCTCTCTTTCTCTTTCTCTTTCTCTCTCTCTCTCTCTCTCTCTCTCTCTTTCTCTTTCTCTCTCTCTCTCTCTCTCTCTCTCTCTCTTTCTCATTTACTTTCTCTGAAAACAAGAACTCTAGGAAGTTACGAACTCTTCCTCCACATTTGGTAAGTTTTTCATTTCCACTCTCAAATATTCTACACTCCTTCACTCAAATCATGGATTCCTTATACAAATATCATCATATTTGTTCTTAGATCTTCAAATCCTCAAGCATTCTCCAAGTTTTCTTGACTTAGAAACCCCACCTCTCTTACACATCCATCTCAAGGAATCACTCAAGGTGAGTTCATAACCCTATATTTTCACATTTTACTCAAGTTTTAAGGGGGAGAATACATGTTACAACACTAAAATACATTATAACTCAACCAACAGCCTTAAACAGAAAAGTTGGACCTTATTCACGGACTGTTTTGAACATTTTAAACTTTTTATTTTTCAAAACTATACAACGTGCAAATAGCTCAGGTTAATACCTTTCTAATGACTACTTGCACACCCTAAAAAAAATTCTACAATTTATGGTGATTTTTAGAAAATTGTCTATCATTTCGAAAATAAACTCGGGCCAGTCTGTGAATTTAGGCATTTTCGCACTAGTTAAAGACCACTAAAAACCATAATAAAAATTATAAATAAACTAGACACATTTCCTGAATTCTCAGAGTTTACGGAATCAGATTTCGACTTTGTATGATTTTTTCGTGATTTTCTAAAAATAGTATAAAATAGTTAAAACTAGTTAAACAACCTTCAATTTATTAACACTTTGTAACATGTTGAGCAAAGTGTATAGCGATAAAAATTCTCTATGTTGAATGTATTTCTTGTTAGTTTAATATCACAAACAGAAATAGTCATTCATGATAAGATTTCCATTTACTACAAACATATGTAATAAACTATAATATGTATAGTTTATGGTACATACACACTACAAACTCACTATGAAAAGTACTCTGTTTACTCCACAAAAAGGGTTTTCCTTCACTAAACCATGTATAATAAACTATAATAGGTATAGTTTATGGTTCCTTACACTAAAAATACACTACAAAATGGGGTTCAGTTACACTACAGAAAAGGTTTTTCATTCACTCTACATGTAAACTCGTTAACGAAAATTGTGAGACACCACTTCATTGTACTCTTAGAGTATGGGTTAAAATTCCTGTAAGTTATAACCAGAGTCTATTGTAGGGAGAGCGTGATAGTTGTATATAGATCTATATTGGGATTGACAACCCACACCCAAGCTTCTTGCAACAGCTCGGCCGACAGGTTAGGGGTGACAAATGTCATAACATTCTGACGCCTGAAGAACGTCGCAGCGGGTTTACTAGGTCATAGTATGGTTATAACGACTGACTTAGGGAGATAACGACACATAAAGTTTACGAGACTTCTTATTTTAAGAAGGTTTTTATTCATTTAAAAATTTCATATACTATCACAAGTATGGAAAATATTTGTACATTTCAGTCTTTAGGTATTAAGACTACAAAACATTTTATAAGGAAAATATTGGATTTTTCTTGTACAAACACTACATTGACAAATAATAGATTTCAACTCTTCATACAAAAGCTTATGAACTCACCAACTTAATTGTTGACACTCTTTCAAACATTACTTATATTCTCAGGTAAATAATAAAAACAGGTGACTACCAGCTTTTGAGGATGGAACGCTTCGACATTAATCAAAACATTTTGTCATTATATTTTTATCGATTTTGAAACATGTAACTTGTGAAATCATGTAACTTTCTCAATTATATTTATAATGGTTGTATTTACTTTGAGCACTATTATACTCGTTGTTGTGATACTATACATGAAGTCCTCCACCCTCGGACGTTTCCACCATCCTTGGTTTGGGGTGTGACATTCCAAGTCAGTATTGGTTAGAGTCAGTTGTATCTTTTTATTTGCAAAACACTCAAGATTTGCAGTCGGATCTTCCAATCACTCCGAAAGCATTTAAGTTTCGTAGCTTCATCAAAGTTGCGAACTTCCCTCTATCAGATAGCGGTGCAGAGCATTTGCCCTTCTCGTTCTACTTGAAGCACATGAAGCCTCAGTATGAGACCTGGATTGCAAAGAATATAATAGTCGTGAAGGTTTCAGATCCAATCGAAACTGATAGCTTTCCGAATGCTAGTTTTAAGGTCGCTAGAGGTTCAACGAGTCAGGTGTGCAAATTCACTCTTGTTGATATACCTTGCCTGAACCCGTACGATTGGATTTTGTTGTTCAACATGTTGCTGAAGGATGAACAGAAGTACGAACCCATTGTTGCTCATCTCAAACAAATGTTAATCTCATACATTCAAGAGGCTGGCAAAATGGATGTGGAAATTACAATCGTACATCGAAAGAGGCCGTCTGTGCTACCCAAAGAAGCTCTAAAAGACTTTGATAAAATGAAGCCAGGGAAGATACAAAAGGATGGCTCGTGTATGATATTTCAAATGAAAGAGCGAACTGATGCTGATTTTCACAAAGTTTGCTTCTTTCTTGCTAATAAGCATATCTATAACACTTCGTGCCTACAATACATCTTGGAATTTAAGGGTAAATGCAGAGTGAATAGCAAAGGAGATAAGAAGTGCTTCTCGGATATGATCTTGTGGTATATCCAAGTTCGCAAGGAATTGCTGAGCATTATTCCGAAACTTTTTGAAGTGCAGAAGCGAACTCCATAGTGAAGGTTTCCTGCCTCAATTGACGCAAAAGGGGAGATTGTTGGGCCTTATGTGTTGCATCATTGTGGTTTATAGATTAGTCCATTTTGTATTCGGGTTGGGCCTATCCACCCTGTTAGCCTAAATATTATTAGCCCATTTGCTTATGGGCCCTTTTGTCTTTAGCCCATTAGAGTTTTGTCTAGCTAGTATTTATATATGCCTTCTTCTTTATAATCTTTATGCTTTCATCGAGAACCCTTGTAATTTCTCTTTATTATAATCATATGACAATGTTATCATGGTACCAGAGCGGAGGTTTGATACGTTGTTAGAAGTCTTTATATTAGTCATCTGTGGCGCAGATTGATGTGTTGATTCGTTCGTTGTTGTTGTTTTCATTGTTACATTGATTTGTTGTCATTGTTGATTGCTTCTGCTGGTTTGTTACTCCTTTCATTCTCAGATTACCACTGTGTTTATTTATTCATTGTCAACATGACTGGAAAGGATGATTACCTTCAGTCAATCAGTACTCATTTGGATGGAAAGAATTATACGTATTGGAGTTACTTTATGAAGAACTTCCTTCGTGGGAAGAATATGTGGGGCTATATCATTGGGACTAAAGCCAAAGCCTCAATAGCTCAAACTGAGAATTTTGATTTGTTACTTGATGATTGGGAGACTGATAGCTACAAGATAATTACTTGGATTAATAACTCTGTCACTCAATCTATTGGTATGCAGTTAGCTAAATATGACACAACAAAGGAAGTTTGGAATCACTTGGAAAGGCTGTATACTCAGTCTAACTTTGCTAAACAATACTAGTTGGAATATGATATTCGTGCTCTTCAACAAAATGACCAGAGCATTTAAGATTTCTATGCTGTTATGTCTGATCTATGGGACCAGTTGGCTCTTACTGAATCTAAAGAGTTAAAAGACTTTGAGCCTTACATTTCTAGGAGGGAAGAACAACGCTTGGTCCAGTTCTTGATGGCCTTGCATTCTGATTTTGATGGTCTACGTGGAACAGTCTTCATCGCTCTCTTCTTCCCTCAGTTGATTATGTGGTCCATGAGTTAATTGCAGAAGAGACTCGTATCAGGTCTCATGTGGATAAAGGGTTTAAAGCAACCTCTATTCCTACTACCACTCCTGTTGTGCTTGCTGTCTCATCTAATCAGTCTCGACAAACTTCAAGGGTTGCTTATGATGAGTGTGCATTTTGCAAACAGAAGAATCATTGGAAAGCTTAGTGTCCATTGTTAGTCAACAAGGGCAAATCTGGTCAACCTCAGTCTAGACAACTAAATAGGTTTGGCCAACAGAAGTTTTAGCCATGTTCATCTGGTACTCCTCTATGGACCCCTCATCCTCCACAGTTTACTGTTGCTGCTGCTATTCCACCAGTTGATACAGATTCTGTTGGAAACATGTCACCATATGCATTGGATCCCAAGGTGTTTGAGAGCTTCAGACAATATTTGGCCTATAATCCCACTGCCATGTCTGCATCTATGTCTCACTCTGGTCGTACTTCATCTGGTACATCAGGTATTCCCTCATCTTTGTGGATTTTAGATTATGGTGCAACCCATCATATGACTCCTTATTTTTCATCATTTACTTTTTTGTCATAATTTGTTAAGTTTGCTAGTGATACATCTATGTTAGTTGAGGGTGTTGGGTCTGTCTCTATTCCTCATATCATTCTCCCTGATGTTTATTACATTCCCAAACTTACTTTGAATCTTACCTCAGTCAGTCAGTTATGTTAGTCTGGTAACTGGGTGTTCTTTTCTAATTTTGTCTGTGTTATATAGGATCAACACACCCAGAAGGTGATTGGGATCGACCGTAGGGTGGGTGAACTATATGTCTTGGAGGTTCTCAAAGTACCTATTGTTGTTGCCTCAAGCATTGATTTATCTTCTTTCCGTTTGAGTCTTTTTTTGTCTGAGTTTTATCTTTGGCATTCTCGTTTGGGACATGTGTTTGTATCACATTTGAATTTTTTGGCATCTAGTGGTGTTTTGGGTTATTTAGACACTTGTGATATTTCTTATTGTAGTGGTTGTAAACTGGAAAAATTCTCTGCTTTACCTTTCAATAAAAGTATGTCTTGTTCTACTGCCCCTTTTGACATTATTCATTCTGATATATGGGGTCCTACACCAGTATCCACAAAGGTGGTTCAACCTATTATGTATCTTTTATAGATGATTATACTCAATATACATGGGTTTATCTTATGAAACGCAGATCTGAGTTCTTTGATATTTACAATAATTTTAGAGCTCTTGTTAAAACTCAACATTCGTCTGTGATTAAGGGCTTCAGGTGTGACTTAGAGGGTGAATATAGCTCTAATGATTTTACTCAGTTACTTGCTTCTAATGGTACCATACACCAGTCCTCGTGTAATGACACACCTCAGCAAAATGGTGTGGCAGAACAAAAACATCGTCATATTGTTGAGACTGCCCGTTCATTGCTCTTGTCTTTACAGGCCCCTAGTGCCTTTTAGGGAGAAGTAATCCTAACTATTGTGTATGTGATTAATTGTATTCCTACTTCATTGAATTCAGGAATGTCTCCTTTTGAGAAGCTATATGGTCATCTACCAGACTACTCTTCCTTACGAGTTTTTGGATGTACTTGCTTTGTTCTTCGTCCTCATGTTGAGAGGAACAAGTTGGGGTTGAAATCTGCTATTTGTGTATTTTTGGGGTATGGTATTGGATAGAAAGGATACCGTTGTTATGATCCTGTGAGTCAGAAGTTATATGTTTCCCGACATGTCACTTTTTTGGATCATATTCATTTCTACTCAATTCCTGCTACAACCCAAAATGTAACGAAGTCCGATCTTCTGCATATTGATCCTTTTAATGAAGAAATAGAGGCTTGAGATCCATTTACACCACCTGATCCCTCAGCTCATGATACACCTACCTCTTCAGAGAGTTCCTCAACCCCCCTGTTCATGAGCCTGCTCCTCCGATTGTTGAAATTGAGGATCCTCCTCCACCACCCCTCAGGGGATCTATTCATCCTATCAAGTCCACCAAGCTTCCAGATTTTACTTACTCTACATATTCAGGGCCATTTGCTTCATTTATAGCAAGTATCCATCATCTGTCTGAACCTGAATCATATAGAGAAGCTGTTTTAGATCCTTTTTGGCAGAATGCTATGGCTAAGGAACTCACTACTCTTCATCAGACTCATACATGGGATCTGGTTTCCATTCCTCCTGGGAAACATACGATAGGTTGTTGTTGGGTGTACAAAATAAAAACAAAAGTTAATGGGTCTGTTGAGCCGTACAAGTCCAGGCTTGTAGCAAAATGGTATTTCTCAACAATATGGTTTTGACTATGAGGAGACATTTGCCCCAATTGCAAAGATGATGATAGTTTGTACTATGATTGCAGTTGCATCTGTTCGACAGTGGAAGATTTTTCAAATGGACGTCAAGAATGCTTTTTTGAATAGTGATCTCCATGAAGAGGTTTATATGACTCCTCCCCCAGGAATTCAGCACCGGCCGGGTGAGGTTTGTCGGCTTCGCAAAGCTTTGTATGGTCTAAAACAAGCCCCTCGCGCTAGGTTTGAGAAATTCTCCACAGTGATTACCTTTCTTGGATTTGTCCAGAGTAATCACGATTCTGCTTTGTTTGTTAGATGCTCGAGTGCAGGACGGATTCTTCTATCCTTATATGTGGATGACATGATTATTATGGGTGATGATCATGGTGGTATTGAGACTTTGAAGCATGATCTTGCTCATCGATTTGCTATGAAGGATTTGGGCTTGCTGCGTTATTTCTTGGGTATTGAGGTGGCTCAGTCTAAGAAAGGGTATCTTCTTTCTCATACTAAATATATATCTGATTTGTTTACACAGGCGTGCCTCTCTGACAATCGGACTATTGATACTCCTCTTGAAAACAATTACTCTCCTACTGATGGTGTTCCTTTGCCAGATCAGAACCTTTATCGCACTGTTGTGGGAAGTTTGGTCTATCTCACGGTTACTCGTCCAAATATTGCTCATGATGTTCATGTTGTCAGTCAGTTTGTTACTGCTCCTACCTCTGTTCATTGCGGAGTTCTCCATATTTTGAGATATCTTCGTGGCACTCAGTTTTAGACACTCTTGTGTTCCCTCGACGGCTGAATATCGTGCTATAGCTGTAACTACATGTGAGATTATCTGGTTACGGTGGTTGCTTGCGGATATAGGAGTTCATATTTCTTCATCTACTCCCTTGTATTGTGATAACAAAAGTGCGATACAAATTGCAAAGAATTCTATTTTTCATGAGCAAACGAAGCACATTGAGATTGATTTTCATTTTACCCGTCATCACCTGTAGCTCGGGACCATATCGCTTCCGTTTGTTTCATCAACCTTGCAGATTGCGGATATTTTTATGAAGGCTCTATCGGCTTCTCGGTTTCGGTTCTTATGTGACAAACTCTTAATGCTTATTGTTGTGGCATTGTGAGTTTGAGGGGGGGGGGTGGTAGCCTAAATATTATTAGACTATTTGCTTATGGGCCCTTTTGTCTTTAGCCCATTAGGGTTTTGTCTAGCTAGTATTTATATCTGCATTCTTCTTTGTAATCTTTATGCTTTCATCGAGAACCCTTGTAATTTCTCTTTATTATAATCATATGACAATGTTATCACACCCGTTATTTATTATTAGGGTTTAGTTATTTAAGGGGTATGCATGCACTTTATCTTGTAATCGTAAAATCTTCTTTTGTAAACCCTACACGCCTTTAAAATAACAGTTCTTTATCGAGCTCTTCTAAGGTTGTGATCATTAATCATTTGACATATTTGGTATTCATTATGTGTTCTCGATTCTTTTACTTGTTGAATCTATTCGATCATTCACGATTTATTCTCAACAAAAACTCTTCCATGCTCTCTCTTATATAATGGCCAAAAAATGAAAGGAAACCATAAAGTAAAAGGAGAGACAACTTTGTCCCAAACATGGCAAAAGAAGACCATGCTTGGTCTCCTTACAATTTTTGAAAAAGCTAGCCATAATGAGGACAAAAGTTGTGTCATGGCTAGTTTATATATATATATATATATATATATATATATGTGTGTGTGTGTGTGTGTGTGTGTGTGTTATCTTTATAAAAATCAATCATTTTTATAAAGAATGCCCAACATATATATTTATATAACTAGTCATATATAAATATCTTATTTTATATGAAACTGTCTTTTATGTAAATTGTAACTAGCTTATTAAGATATAAATATGAATATATAAATATGTTATTTTATATAAAACTACCTTTTATATAAATTGAACTAGTTTATTAAGATATATAAATATAACTTATAAATAATCATACTTTATGATATATTTCATAAGTTGTTATTTCTCCAACAAATATTATTTCCACAAATAATAAATTCTCAATTAGTAAAATATTATTTCCATGAAATAATAATTTTCCAATTAAATACAAGTGTTGATATATTTATTAATAATCAAATTATACTAATAAATAATCAATTGACGGTAACTTGCTATATGATGTGACCCTATAAGAATATACATTATTAGTAATATCATTTTATTATAATTCTTGAACATACTAGATCTTTCACAAAGCCCGTCTCCAAGCTAATCCATAACCGCAATGAGCTCCAGAACCCTGCAAAATACCTCATGCAAAATAAAAAGTACTCGACACAATCCATGATAAAGAAAACAAAGAATATACAATGTAATACTAATAAAAAGAGCAATAATAATAATAATAATAAATAAACTATAAAAAGGAAGGAAATAAAATAAATTATCAACGATTTTTACCAAACTTGCGAACACTTTATGTTTCGTTAGATTTATGAGCAACAGTTTGTTGAGGTTCATCAATCTCTCGATAGGGCCAACCGATGCCAAAATGTTTTTTGTTAAAGATTGCGACATACTAGATTGGTGGAAAAAATATGATTTGCGATTTCCTAGCATTGCTAGTATAACAAATGTAGTTTCGATTTTCTAATACTTGTTTTGGTTTTCTATAATTTAAGATATAACTTAATAGACTTATAATTTTATAATCGTTTGCTTTTAGATATTTTGTCCATACTTATAATTTTATAATCGTTTGCTTTTAGATATTTTGTCCATACAAATATCGACTGTGACACTGAAATCATTGTTTGGCACATTCGGTCGAATTTTAGATGAATATCGAACACGTTTGCCGACACTTATTCTGGAGATGTTGGTGTGTACCTAAGATTGAATTAGGAAATCACGAAAACCGATAACAAATGATGATAAATACATATTAAGTAATGATGAGATTGATTTTGGTAGTAAATTTAAATCATCATAATATTATTTGTAATATTTGTTAGAAGTTTTACATATTAACTATTTTTTATTTTCATATAGAGATTGAAAGGATGATATAGACACACGATGGTAAAAAGAATGGAAAAAAGTTGGTTGAAGTTCAATTTTTTTCTTTTTGATTAGATTGTTTATTTTGGTATAATGATATTTTGGTTATTTAATATATTGCTAATTTGGTACAATGGTATTTTGGATTTTTACATTAATGTTTTGGTTTGTAAGTTTGTTACAATGGTATTTTAGAATTTTACAATGGCAATTTGTAATTTTATATTGGTATTTTCGTTTTTTAGTACATTGCTATTTTGTTGTGATGCTAGTTTTCTAATAAAAAAACTGTAAAAACGAAAAAAATAAAACTAAAAAAATAGGAAAATCTTCGGAAAAATCATAATATTTCAACATAATTTACGAAGATGTCCCAAACTAAAATTTGTTTATGAAAAAATCCAAATTACCAGTAAACACGATGATTTGACCATTTTTACACGGTTTCATTACTTACCCGGTTTCATTAAAGTCGTATTACTTTACCATAATTTACGAATAAGTCCCAAACTAAAATTAAATGATGATTTAGCCATTTTCTCCCTTTATATATTACCAGTGTCATTACTGACATGGACGCATAGTCATTAAATGAGTTGATGATATGGATATGTTAGGTTATGTAATGTTATGTTTACCATAAAAAATGATATCATGATCTACTGTATATTTTTTGAAATATAAAATGCATCCAACAAAAACTGCAATAATTACATAAACTTGCAACAAATTCGTCATTTTTAAGTTTATAAGAAATTTCAAACTGTCTATCTAATCTTTTGTAACCCAGTATATCTATCTCACCAGTTCATTTCCCGTCATTTTTCTCTAAACCACACATTTTACCGGTTTCATTGTCAACTTGGATACATAATCATAAGTGAGTTGATGAGATGTATATCAAATTTTACGGTAAATTTAGCATTATATAACCCATTATATATATATATATATATATATATATATATATATATATATATATATATATATATATATATATATATATCTTATTAGCTAATTTAAAGAGTAGACGTCCAGATCAACAATGAACCCGATAAAATATATGTTAAATGGAGAAAATGGCTAAATCATTACTTAATTTTATTTTGGGACTTATTCGTAAATTAGGGTAAAATAATGAGATTTTAATGAAACCGGGTAAGTAATGAAACCGGTAAATCGGAAAAAATTGGTCAAATTGTTATCATTTTACCAGTAATTGTGACTTTTTCGTAAATAAATTTTAGTTTGAGACTTTTTTATAAATTATTAGAACTTTTTTCGAGATTTTCCCTAAAAAATATTATAGAATATGAACTAAAATTGAAAAAAATAAGACAAGTCAATGGCCAAACTGAAAGGTAGTTAAATATTAAATTGAAATACCAAGTTACCCACCAACCATTAAATTGAAATACCAAACCAATGATATTTCATGAAATTAAATATCCTCCTTCAATTTTCTCCTATTTATCTTCCTATTCATATTAAATGATGATAAATAGATTAAAATATTAATAAGAAAAATTAAATATAATATATATCATCATTTGACATGGGTAGAAGGATGGTAAAAAAAAATTATAAAAAAATATTTAATTTCTTATTGATTATGAAAAAAAAAAAGCACATACCGACAAATACCAACTCCGAATATCCAGCTAATGGGCTGGAAAAACTATTGAATGAGGATGAAAAGCCATGTAATGAGATAAGTCCGAGTCTCGAACCAGCCCGGAACCCATATATTCATAATCGGTCCGATTTCGGTCTAAAGTTTTGTGCTATTTTTTTCGGTTCGGGTCGGATCCGCCTACATCAACTTGACCCTAATTATAATTAGTGATTCGCACCGGTTGCAATCAAAAGCATCGGCCTTTCTTTTTTCCGTGACGCGACATCTCCTTTGTTCACAAAGTGCAAACCCCCTCGTAACCCCCTAATTCTCTATTCCTCAAACCAGCTTGCAGATATGGATTTTCAAGTGGTAGTATTGGCGGGAGGCACTTCGAAGAAGCTTGCCCCTCTTGTTTCCAAGGTTTCTATAACCTCCTGGTGTGTATATGATTCATATATTTGTGTATATGATTGTATCGACTCACTTTCTTGTTTCTGAAAACCTGTAGGACGTTCCCAAATCGCTACTCCCAGTGGCGAATCGCCCAGTGTTATCCTACGTTTTGGAGCTATTGGAGCAGAGTAATCTCAAAGATCTTATCGTTGTAAGATCCTTTTCTGTTTTCAATATGTTCTATAATTCGTTTATTCCTGCAATATAGCGTCTAATTTTTGGTAATTGGGGTTTATCTTTAAGTTTTTGCTTCTTTGCCGGTTTAATTATCATCCTATCAGTTACTGGAAAGGCTTGTACGATGTGAATTTGATACAAAACCTAGTATTTTCTATAGCCTTATTAGAAAAGGAGGAAGCTGTGTTGCTATTTAATGTCGATCACATAGTTTCCTTGAATTCTCAATTATGAATCACTATGGCCGCTCCACAAACAAAGTAATTTCTTAAACATTGACAGGTTATAACCCATGGAACCACAGTGAGAACATGATCTAATCTTTGTCCTTTTCTTAGAGATCAGAAAGAAACAAAGTTATGGATAAGAATTCAATTTATAAAGCCTGTTATTGACCTTTCACTCTGTACAATGCACATGTCTTGATATTGACTCCATCAATTTACAACTGCAAGATTGTGTTTCAACTCTTTTTTACAATCTTAACAAGCTTATATACTTCATTTTTGCATTAGACTGTAGTTATCATGTGTAGCATCATACCATAGACTGAAGTTATCTTCATCCATCACTTGAGTTGGCACGTAGTCACATTTTTACCCTTTAGGTAGATACACTCTCACTCAAGTTAATAGTTTAATGAATGTAGCATTTCTAGCTTCCTAAGTTTTAGGTTTATGTGAAATACATTTTAGTTTGTATCTGTTGCACTTATCAACCAATGAAATATCCATCATTTATTGTTGTTTTTTAAGTTGAACTGCAAACCCTACTTCAAGTTGATAACCAAATGTGTGTAAATGTGTACAATTTGATGTCCTTCATCTCCTTCACTGAAAAGGAGATTTAGGACAACCGTAGATACAACCCTAATCAAGATACACATGAAGGATTTCACTCTACCATTATGTGAGAAGCTTTAGGATGACAATTTCTTTTACCCATAAGACACACTTCTAGTTGATGACACATGAAGGATTTAAGTAGTTTTAAAAAAATGTCAAACTACATAAAATCACATAAAGTTTATTGTCATAAATCTATTGCAACATTATAATATTGTCGCACAATATTTGTTACAAATAATATTTATCAACTTGTACATGGGGGGCTTTGAAACCATCTTGTGATTTTTGTAAGACCTATTTCCCAATAATCCTAGACCACATCATGGATTTTATTTACCCATTTAACCTCCACATGTTTCTATTTAGTAGTATATGCTATAGTGCTTATTTAACCAGTGTCTAAGTGTAGTTGCTTATTGTAGATGAAGACATGGGTTTCATTAAAAACATTTGATGAAAAAGTAAAAAAAGATGATTTTAGAGTTTTTACATGAAGTTTTTTGGGCATAGGTTGTGGAAGGGGAAGATACAGATGGTCTTGTTGAAAATTGGATATCAGAGGCTTATGTTGATCGATTACATGTTCAGGTATTTTTATAAAACCTTTTTAAGATTTATAATTACTTTTTTTTTTTTACCAAAATAATTTGAGATTTATATCATTGTAGCAAGCTAAGATATATTTTTTTAGGTTGCTTCTGTCCCAGAGGAAGTTGGTACAGCTGGCGCTCTCCGGGCCATTGCCCATCATTTGACTGCATCTGACATCCTGGTTTGACTTCTCACTCATATCAATATGAAGTTTTTTATTTTCTGTTGATGCTGATGTGGACAATGTTGGAAATACAATTTTTTTTTTTGAAGAATTGAAACTTAAGTGACTAATATTTGCAGGTTGTGAGTGGTGATCTTGTTTGTGACATATCACCAGGGGCAGTTGCAGCAGCTCATAGGCGACATGATGCTGTAGTGACTGCAATGTTATGTTCTTTACCTGTCAGTGGGACCCAGGAATCAGGCTCTTCTGCTGGAAAAGATAAAACAAAGAAACCAGGATGCATTAATATTGTGGGCCTTGACCTCACAGAACAATTTCTTTTACACATAGCAGCTGGTTAGATCTTCAAATTATAATACTTTTTTACATTTTTTATTCTCTCAAGTCTCAAGTATTTTTTATTTATTAGTTATTACTTATTACCACATGGTCTTTTCTAGGTATGGATGTTGAAAAAGATATTAGGGTTCAAAAGAGCATCCTTCGTGCTGTAGGCAAGGTAAATCACTAAATGTTTTTTTTTTTTTTTTTTTTTTTTTTTTTTTTTTTTTTTTTTGTCTCATCCATAAAGGTAGGAGGACAAAGGCTTTCTTTCAATCTCCTGTTTGTGAAAAAGACGTGAATGCCCTTGTCGTGGAAAGTATCCGACTTTGATCCATGTTTCTTGTTTTAATTTTTTTTTTTTCGCTTTGAACACATGTAGATGGAAATTCGTGCTGATTTAATGGATGCTCATTTATATGCATTCAAAAGGTTTGATTTCTACATTTTCTTGAATCAATGGTTGTTTTCACTTAATCCAACCTTATTTATTATTTGAGTAAATTACACGAATGGTCCCTATGGTTTGGGGTAATTTGCGCGCTTGGTCCCTAACTTATTTTTTTAACTCAGAAGGTCTCTACTGTTTGTTTTTGTTATGTGCTTGGTCCCTACTGTTTGTTTTTGTTACGTGCTTGGTCCTTGTTTTACCTAAAAAGATTATTATTTAAGAGTAAATTACTGAAATTGTCCCTATGGTTTGGTCTAGGGATGAGCAAAAGGACCGAACCGGCCGGAACCGGGAACCGGCTTCGGCCAAAATCAAGAACCGAACCGGCCCGGCGGTTCTACCGGTTCCGGTTCCTACCGGTTCTTGTCGTGTCTTCAAATATTGGAACCGACCCTCGAAAAATAGCATCATACGGTTCTGGTTTTTACCGGTTCTACCGGTTCCGGTTATATCGGTTCCGGTTCCTACCGGTTCCCGGTTCCAAAAATCAACAAAAATAACGTCCCGGTCCCAGCCCGACCGGTTCCATCGGGTTCCGGTTCCGGTACCGGTTCCGGCCGGTTCCCCGGTCCATATGCTCATCCCTAGTTTGGTCAAAATTGCACGTTTGGTCCATAACTTTATTTTTGCACTCGGATCGTTCCTGTGGTTTGATTTTGTTGCGTTTTTCGTCCCTTACATACATAAAGTAAGGGATCAAACGTGCAATTTTGACCAAACCATAGGGACGGTTTCAGTAATTTATTCATTATTTAAATAGGGGAAAATGGTGGGGTGGGTAAGGTAAGGTGAGGGGGTGTATTTATTTAAATAAATCAAGGGCAAAATAGTCTTTTTAGGTAAGACACGGACCAACCGTGTAACAAAAACAAACAGTACGGACCTTTCGAGTTAAAAAAATAAGTTAGGGAACAAACATATAAATTACCCTAAACCATAGGGACCATTCATGTAACTTACTCTTTTTTTTTTTGTCCTTATTCTTTGGTTTTTTGATAGGTCTGTTCTTCAAGATGTCCTTAACAAAAAACAAACATTCAGAAGCTTGAAGCAGGATGTGTTACCTTATCTTGTCAAAACTCAACTGGTTGGTTTCTTAAGCCTACACATTTTTCTCACTTCTTTTTAGCATAATATTTACTTTTTTTTTTTTTTTGGTGTTTTAGAGGTCTGAAATATTATTAAACGGAGCACAAGCTGAAGAAAATGGAAACGAAAAGGATGCTTTCAGTAACAATAAAGTAATGCTGTCTCAGCTTCTTGCTAATGCATCTACACCAAGCTTTCATGAACTATACGCCTTGGGCCCCAATGGATTTGCTCCAACTGAAAGAAAAACTCATAAATGCTGCGTTTATATTGCCAACAAAACCACATATTGTGCTCGATTAAATTCCATTCAAGCATTCAGTGACATCAACAGAGACGTGAGTTTTTCTACACTCAGCCTTTCTTTCATATCACCACTGTTTAAAATCCTTTTTTTTATTTTTTTTATTTTATTAAGTCTTAAGCATGCCAGGTCATAGGAGATGCAAGTCATCTATCTAGATGTTCATTCTCTGTTCACAACAATGTCATTCATCCATCTGCTGTTCTTGGCTCAAAAACCACAGTAAGTTCATGCTCTTTTTATTTATTTATTTATTTATTTTTTAACATTGGTTTAAATAAATATATAAGGTTGGACCACAATGTATGCTGGGAGAAGGTTCACAAATGGGGGACAAATGCAGTGTAAAACGTTCTGTTATTGGACGTCATTGTCGGATAGGATCAAATGTGAAGGTACAATTAAATAAAACAATTTGAATGAAATGTTAGAGATTATTATTAATAGAGTGAATTACTGAAATTGTCCTTGTGGTTTAGTCAAAATTGCACGTTTGGTCCCTAACTTTTTTTTTGTACTCAGATCGTCCCTGTGGTTTGATTTTGTTGCGTTTTGCGTCCCTGTGGTTTGATTTTGTTGCATTTTTCGTCCCTTACATATATAAAGTTAGGGACTATACATGCAACTTTTACCAAACCATAGGGACGAAAAACGCAACAAAAGCAAACCACAGGGACGATCCGAGTGCAAAAAAAAGTTAGGGACCAAACGTGCAGTTTTGACCAAACCACAGGGACGATTTCAGTAATTTACTA